GAGAGAGAGAGAGAGAGAGAGAGAGAGAGAGAGAGAGAGAGAGCGCGCGCGAGAGAGAGAAAATGAGTGAGTGAGCGCGTGCGTGAGAGAGAGAGACGGAGAGAAAAAAGAGAGGGAGCCAATTAGATGCTCTGTCGATCGTCATCACGTGATTTGTTGATCGGTCACCCGGATGTTGTTGAAGGGGATCCTCTATTATAATAAGTTCGCCAAACCGACGATAAAACTCAATATTTATTTTTAATTATTATTATTCTTAGTATCATCATCATTATTGTTATCATTATTATTATTATTATTATTATTATGATTATTATTATTATTATTATTGTTATTATTATCATTATTATTAATAATAATATTATTATTATTATTATTATTATCATTATTATTAATATTATTATTATTATTATTATTATTATTACCTGCTCTAACTCCTTTTCCGTATTAAATGACGCCGTCGTGTCGATCACTACGAAATATATTGCGAATTCTGTCCGTTCCACTATAGCATCGTAACTTGACACTATGGCGTCCCACATGAAGTCTCGGCCAACGTGGTTACCGCTTGCTATTGCTCTCAGGACGTCGGCAGTATCGTCGGCTGACGTCATCGTCGGGTCCATTGCTATTTCGTAGTATCTGTTGACACGTGCAAGAAATAATGAGAAAAAATATAAATAAAATAATAAGAAAACACGAGCACATGCTTATAGACACGAACAGCCATATATTCGCTTTATTTCCGGTTAAATATGCATTTTATAACTTTACATTTACATTTATATTTTGTAGTTTACATTTTTAAGATAACTAATTTTGTGCTTGTGTTAATAAACATGTTTCCAGCGTAACTAATGCAAAGGATTCGCAGGAAATCGCAATAAAACCAATAAAAACGATATCATAAAGTACAATCAAATGTTATAGCCTCAGAAAAATCTAAACTACAGTAAGAAGTAGCAAGCTAATACTAACTAAAATAATATACAGATTGAGGACAGAGGTTCACTTCACGAAACGCAGTGTGTATGTACGCATATGAATGTATAAACGCACAACAATAAATTTATTTATTTACTAAAATTGTCCCCTCGCGTAAATCGTCAGTCCAATGATTAATGATCAATGATCCAGCCAATGATTTTGTGCGATATTAGATTCCAAACAACAATGCTTAGAAACAAAGTGTAGCAAAGTCGATAAAAAATAGCAGATACTTGAAGACACATAAACGAGACTTACCTACAACTACTAGCCTAGCCTGACCGACTTATCAGTGATATCACAGGGGGGTGTGCTTGTAGCGAGCGAGCGCATCTGTTTAACCACTATGACGTCATACTCACTTTTGGAGAAGGGTGAGGTCTTCCGTCATGCCCATGGCTTCCCGCAGACGATCTCTCTCGCTCACGTCGCTGGTGACGTTGTAGCGTTGCCATGCGAACTCCCATTCCTGCTCGCCTCCCGCCCTGAGGGCAGCGTTGTAGGCCGGAGATCGGAGATTGACGTTGATGCTGAATGATGGTGGGGATGTGTATAGTTGAGAAATTGTGTCGCTGCAGTTCAATCTACGGTGATATGACATTATAGATAGCGGCGGTGCGAACACAAGGCAGATTCACGCGCAATTCACTGCAATCTGTTTGCAATCATGAGTGCAACTTAGCGGTGCGTTCGTGCGTGTGTGTGTGTGTGTGTGTGTGTGTGTTTGTGCGCGCACGTGCGTGCATATGTGCGTGTGTACGTGCGTGCGTATATATCCTCCCCCTCCTCCTCCTCCCCCTCCTCCCCCTCCTCTTCCACACCCTCTGAGCGTCGATAGCAATGCGTGACTCCGCTTACTCCTGTTTCAGACGGCTAGCTGTGACGGAGAACCGTTGCCGACCAGGCGACCGGCCGCGAGCGGCAGAGCTGCGAACAAGTGAGCAGACATCGACATCCGGGCACTCCGAGTAAGTAACACAGACTCCGTTAATCGTTAATCCCACTCGTTAAATCCATGAAGCCAGCGACACTGATCGCAGCGCCATCTCGCGCTGGAAATTTTAAACCGGCCGAGCCGAAGCCGGATCGATCGATTCCGTTTTCTTCGTTTTTTTTTAAATTCAACCGCACTTCCTTTTTGCTTTTATCTCGCTTTACACTCGGTCGGGAATCGCCGCGTGAGATTACGAGATTGCTTCCATTTGGCGCCTGACTGCGCGCCATGCTCGTGCCGAAGATATCCGTGTGCATATATGCATATAATTATCTGTTCGTGTTGCGTGCGCGTGTGCGCGTGTGTGTGCGCGCGTGCGTGCGTGTGTGTGTTGTGACGAGTTGTGACAATCCTCCTAGAGATGGCGCTTTAATTCGAGCGAGTCTGCTGCTACACCCCCTCCTTCTACTCCTGCACCTTCTCCTGCTCCTCCTTCTCCTCCTCCTCCTGCTCCTCGCCCTCCTTCTCCTCCTCCTCCTCCTCCTCCTTCTCCTCATCGTCCTCCTCCTGCTCCTCGCCCTCCTTCTCTTCATCGTCCTCCTCCTGCTCCTCGCCCTCCTTCTCCTCATCCTCATCCGTTCCTCGCTCTAATCTCTCTCCTCCTCTCCTTCTCCTCCATCCTCTCCTCTCCTCTCCTAATCTCTTCATTCTCCTCCATTCTCCTCCTCCTCCCTCGCTCCTCCTCTATCTCTCCTCCTCTCCTCTCTCCCTCTCCCTCCTCATTGTCTTACGTCTCCTCATGTCACTCTCTCTCCATCTCGTCAGTTCTCTTCAAGCTCTCCTGTAGCAGCAGCATTTGCAGGTCGCATGATGTACTATTAAGCTGATTATAATTCCTAATATCGAAGTGAAGCGCGAAGCGGAACGAGAAAATCGATATGAATTAGTTATATACATGCTTGCTGCTGCTGCTGATAGAGAATGATAGGGTGGGGTGTGTTGCTGCTGCTGCGCTGCTTGATGATGATAGATATGATGGTGGTGGTGGTGTGGTGATGCTGCTGCTGCGCTGCTGCTGCTGATGAGATGATTAGATGATGATGGGTGGTGTGTGTGTGTTGGTGTGCCTGCTGCTTGCTACTGCTGCTGTGCTGCTGATGATGTGGTGATGGTGTAGTGGTGTGCGCTGATGCTGCACTGCTACTGCTGCTATGCTGCACATGCTGCTGCTGCTGCTGATATGATAATGATGATGATGATGTGGTGTTACTGCTGACTGCTGCGGCGCTGCTGCTACTACTGCTGTCGCGCTGAGATGATGATGATATGGTGGGTGGTGTGTGTACTAAGCTGCTGCTGCGCTGCGCTGCTGCTGTTACTACTGCTGCTGCTGCTGCTGCGCTGCTACTAGCGCTGCTGCTGCTGCTGCTGATGATGATGATGATGATGGTGGTGTGTGGTGGTACTGCTGCTGCTGCTGCGCTGCTGCTGCTACTACTAGCTGATGCTACTATACTCTCTGCGTTGCTGTTGCTATAATGGCTCTGCTGCTGCTGTTTTACTAGAATTTAAGTAATCGCTCGTTCAGCCCGTCATGATTGATTGTTTAGCGGTGGATGACTCGCGATACACACTTATATATACACTCCGTTCCGCATGAATGAAAGGAGGAGGAGAGGGAGAGGGGAGAAAGGAAGGGGAGAGAGAGCGAGACGAGAGATAGGGAAGGTGGATAGATCGCTGTATCGTAAACACACACACACACACACACCACGCCTCGCACGCACCACGCCCGCAGCAGCGCGCCACACACCACTGCACACAAGACGTACACCACACACTTCCACAACACACACACCAAACCACCACACACTCTCACAACAACCACAGCACACACACACACAACGCACACACACCATCCACACACCAACACACACAATCTACTATATAATAGTGAAGACGAGTGTCGTTTTACTTAATCTCATCCGAAACCGTGGTCCGGTGTGCCGCGCGAATCGAGCTGGCCCCTTCTGGCGTCGGACAGATTCGCTAAGTTAGAACGCGATTTTTTCGACGTTAAAGTGACTTTTTCAGACAATTTTCATAAAACGTTATGTGCCCGAAAACTTGGCAATTCACGGCGAAACCCGCACCAACTTTTAAGATCGCTAAAATACATGCCATCACCAAGCAGAGTACGTGATCACCTTGTGAATTAAATTGCCTCATCGCAAACCCACCAAATTTAAGATCTCCAAATCCGCAATGCCATCCAATCACAGCATGTGAATCACTGCTAACGCACGTGCACGGTGTGGTGCCGCGTTTGATCAACTGTTACATGTATGTATGTAATGTATGTGTGGTGGGTGGGTTGTGTGTGAAGTGTGTTGTATGTGTGTGTGTGTGTGTGTTGTAGCGCGTGTGTTTTGGTGTTGTGGCTGTGTGACACTGTCTGTAATTATGTATGTATGTTGTTGTGTTTGTTTGTGTGTTGTGATGGTGTGTGTTGTGTGTTGTGTGTTGTGCGCGCGCGTGTGTGTGTGTTTGTGTTGTTGCTTGTGTTGTGGTGTGTGTGTATGTATGTGTGCGTGTGCGTGTCGTTTGCGTGTAGGGCGTGTCGGTGCTGTGCGTGTGCTGTCGTGGCTGTGCGTGTGACGATGTGTGTGTGTGCGCGCCTCGTGGCGTGTAATGATGTATGGTGCGCTGACATTTAGACAGTTTCGATTGTTTAAGAGAGACTACACATTACACACTATATAATACCATAACTTTTGAAATTGTGTAAACTATTACGTGTTTTCTCAGCGGTTTTAATCATAATGCTAGCTATCCTAAATGAGATTAAAGGTATAATAAAAGCATTTAATTAGTGGACACTTCACCTAGCATAAGCAAGCCCACACTAAACGCCACGCAAGAACGCACGCACGCACACCGGCAGACGCGCACCACGCACACACAAAGACATTGCGCTGCGGTGTTATAAACCCAATCACTGCCGCGCACAGTTGTGAGACGAAAATTTAAGACAAACCCCAACGAGATACGGTGCAGTTGTATGTTGTGTATGTGTGTGCCGTGTGCGTGTGTGCGTGTGTGCGTGTGAGTGGTGCTGTGCGTGTGCGTGTGCGTGTGCGGTGTATGTATGCTATGCGTGTGTGTGCGTGTGCGTGGTGCGTGTGTTGAGTATGTATCGTGTGTTGCTGTTGCATTGCATGTGCGTGTATGTGTGTGTGTGTAAATGTATGTTGTGCGTGTGCGCAGTGTGATGTGCTGCGCAGCCCGTGTGGTGTGTGAATGAGGTGTGTGTGTGCCGTCGCGCGCGTGTGTGAAATATTTGCCAACGGAGGTAACCTGCCGCCGCTTCCACTGATTTCAGAACATATATCTTAAACTACAATCATTTTTTTTTTTTTAAGAATTTGACTGTTAGAATAATAATGCTTCGTACAGATAATATTTCAAAAATAATATTAAATAAGTGAAATTGTACTATGAAATTACCCCTAATCCCTTTTATTTGAAAAATGTATTGTAATTTTAAGTCAAATTATCAAGATTTTATATATACTTTAGATACTATCTTTACATTAAACAAATAATTAGGTATATACACGAGTTCTACATAATTATCAGTATATACTGTAATACATCCTCAATAAAAAGGAAATAAATGATTACCGCTTCCTCAATCATACCCCACTCAAACCCGTCTGAGACGGTAATACTAGTGAATATTAACGCCTGCCTGTTTTTAACGAACTGACACAGACGAAGTCGACGATCGTGCTGCAAAGCGTACGCTATCCATCTAATGAACAAATAACTCGCTATCCAGGTCGCAGAAAGAAGACAAATAATGGCGACGATGCGCGCGAGAAGAGAGAGAGAAGCGCGCTGCGAGCGATGGTGAGCAGAGAGAAAGAGAGAGAAGAGAGAGAAGGAGAGAGAGAGAGAAAGCGAAGAGAAAGAGCGCGCGGCGCAGAAGAGAAGAGAGAAGCGAGCGGAGAAGATGGGAGAGAGAAAGCCGCGAAGGGAGCGAAGGAGAGAGAGAGAGAGAAGAGAGAGAGAGAAGAGGAGAAAAGAAAGAGAGAGAAGAGTGGGAGAGAGAGAGAGAGAGAAAGAGAGAAAGAAGAGAGAGAGAAAGAGAGAGAGAGATAGAGAGAGAGAAGAGAGAGAGAGAGAGAGAGAGAGAGAGAAAGAAGAGACGAGAGAGGCACCGCGGCGAAACACGAACGATAATATGCCATAAAATACAATAAGTTTAAAAATCCGACTATGGCTTTGCGACGTGCAGCACCGGCCAGCCCCGCGAGTATAAGGCACAACGAATAAACATAAAAAATTGTAATTGATGGGAGAAAATTTCTTTAATCTTGCAACATAACCTTATGTGGTTTGTGATTCTATTCAATGTACAGTGGTGTATTAATATTTCATGTATTTTTTGTTATTAGGTATTAATTAGCTTATGCTTAATTATAACAGTAAAGTGTGAAGCTATCCACAGTGTGTTATATGGCTAACCCCAATCTTTATAACACGCCATGGCATGGCCTATAACATCACATCCGTTTATAAACGCATGGCATG